GGTATTCCTAGTAACCAGGCCCCCCACATTTTTTCTTGTTGCGATATATCATAGGTATTATGACTAAAGTATAGAATATTCGATTCAACATCTGTGGGAAGTCCCCCAGTATGATAACAGAGGCAATTTACATTTGAAATTTTTGGTGTTCTCCATCAATTTAAACCCGTATCTGCGGCCTGCTCCTCTCGGTAACCACCCGAGCAGTTTCTTAGCGGGGCCATGAAGTCTACTTCTACGCTAAAATTCAATACAGTTCACCCCAGGACTGCACATTTTCACAAGAACATACCCATCTAATCGAGAGCCCAGAGCTGAAGCTAGTTTAGGGTGGGCCTATTCTTGAAGTGAGTAACTCGGGGATTTCAGATTGGTTAAATACTTTAGTATTGTGAGCGCCGTAAGGGATTTGGCTGTGGATAGTGTTGCAATATCTAGATGCGGGCCGATTGCCTTTGGAGGAGGAGTCACATCGTCTCTCGAGGTTGTTGTTCTACCGGTACAAGGGATTTAAGAAAAAAATTCTGTTCTGCTGTGGCATATGTTATAGAAGGTCCAAGGCTATTCGGAATTAGATACCGTAGCGAAATATTTTCCAGGAGCAACGAGCCAAAGCTAAGGGCACTCAAGCACCCCTACTACAGGACCATGAGCTCCGTAGAATCTCGAATATTTGAACCGCCGCTAACCGTAAGCTACGGTATGCCGTTCGAGTTGCCCCCTCTCATCACGGGGTGGGGTTTTTTCTTCTCTAAACCTAAGCTAAACAGGCACCCCGCACGCCAAACAACCGAACACATAATGCAAGATAGCCCAAATGGGTAATCTCCGATCCACATCCCTACAGCACAGTATTCTTGGTTCCTCGGTCGACGGTTGCGTTTCCTTCCCCCCCTTTAAAAGACAAACATAGTACCTTAAGTACCATCTCAGCACCCAACAATACAATCCTCCCTACTCACCTCTTTGATCAAATCTATTTGGTTTGGATCTGTTTGTTCTTCCCCTTTTTTTCTTACTCCTGCTAATACTCGTCGTCGTTATTTCACGCTACCTCCCGAGCTCGAAGCCAACTTTTCAAATTTGAGGAAAATCCCGACAGAAGATGTACTCGAGCGCAGTAGCGGTGAAGGCTTTGCTACGGAAAGCATTTAACAAACACTTCTCAAGGCCCAAACATCTGTCCAACCCCTGGACCGGAACCGGGACTTGGCTCGCAAAACCACAAAAAATGGCTCTATGAACTGTTAGCCGTTCCCCTTTCCCCTTGCACTTTATTCCTGTCCGTTAGTTCATGACCTACTAAGGTGCTCGAGTAACGTCCCTCTTCATTGACTCTAAAGGGAGCTATTCTAAAATGCGGCGCTGCCATATCTTTACTGCCGGCACCATACAATACAGCAATTACTACCATCATCAGAAACTACCGGCAAAGTTCACCCAGACTTCACGGTGTATGTTGATAGGTCAATAGGGTCCTATCACGCGGTCACTTTTTACTCTTGGCATTCCTATATTCCGAGTAACCATGCTACCCAACCTGTTATCGATAGCCTATCGCCCGCCCACACCCCTCCAAAAGATTAAGGTACGACAATTCGCCCCCCCCTGAAAGTGTACCATACTGTACTCGAGGAACAACTGCACCTCACCCACATTCTCTGACACAGACGTATGCGGGCCGTTGCCAGCTCAATTGTGGCTTCAACCCGGCAGATTCACCTCCTATTGTGGACTCATGCTCTCCGCCAACTTCACCTGATCATTGCTGTCAACGATATTACGAGCACCCATCATGACAGGGACCGATAAGTTACCGTTAAACCATAAAAAGAAATTATCCCTCCTCTGGGGCTGTGCTCGCTACCTTGAGTCGCACCACCGGTATTAGATCAACAATTGAGCGATTTGCTAGTAATTCTTGTTACTAAATCGTTTCCAGCTTGTTTAGTTGGTTGTTTTGCTAAGAAGATGAAAATAAAAAATAGTGAGGGGCTTCTTGTTAGCCACCGGTAACAGGATATTTACCACACCACGGGCAATCACTCGCATGAAAACGACAACCAAAAAGCTCATTGGCCAATCGAATTCACAGTCTTTAAGCTTTCAAAGGTGACCGGAAGTTCTGCTGCCCGGACTCGCAGATTTCCGGATATGGTCCCTTTGGAACCGGTGAATAAGTGACCAACGGGAATGACAACTAGTGTTGATAGGCTGTGTATGTCAGAAGCATATGCTGGCTCTTATCTCTTGCTCCCAGAGACGCATCTACCGGTAGTTGGTTGGTGTTGCCGGGTTCATGAATACTGTGCCAAGGCTGGAAGTGGCGGTGCATCAGTCAAAAGATGTGCGGTCCCAATATATTATGACAGGATCTATGCACTGAGTACTGCACTGCGCGGTGGTCTAATCTACAAACCTGACATCTACTAGTAGACAGGAATCGGACATTAATATTCAACGGGTTCTGGAGGCACGGTAAGAACCCTCCCTTCCGGGATATTAGGATGCTGTCGGGTACCAGTACTGCATGTCCATCTTCACTGCACAAGGCTGCTCGTCCGAAAATAGGGTCTGTTAGACTCGTTTACACACACTCGAAGTTTGGGTGGATGGGCTGAGATAATGTGATACTCCACGGTACAGGTACGGGTACCCGAGCGGGGGGCAACGAATGTGCATTTATGAGCCAGGCTTGGGTTTACGAGTCTGCTGCAATAATGTAAGAACTCTAATAAAAGATGAATATGCTAGAACGTGGTAGCTACCTCCCCTAAAATAGTAAGAGGCGGCATATATCCCTCCAGTTTTGTCTCAACGCTGGGTTGGCGGTGTTCTCCCATCACGTATCCGATCGGGGGAATTCCAACGTCCCGGTACATTTGCCTTCCACTCGAGCCCCGACAGTAGCAGTTTCCCGCAACTGCGAGTCAGGTAGGGTGCTGCGGAGGCACGATGTGGGCAGTTTATTTAGCGCTCAGTCTACACTTGGTTCCAGCAGCCGATTGCGACAAGGGTGGGTTGCGGTATCTCAACTCAACCAACTTGAGTAGTACCGATACCGCATTTCCAGGCGCTGCTGTCCGCGAGGCATGGCGGAGGGTCAGATACGACCGGAGCAGCGGAAACCGCTGCGCCGCTTGTGGCTTTACTTTCACTCGGTCCGATCCTGTTCCCGGGAATAGGTTGAGTATCCCCGAGCCACCGGGCGTAGCTGGCGTTCCGCCGTGCCCGGGAGACCCCCGTGCCCCGCAATGTAGTGCAGGGGACTTTAGCACGTTTAGCTATCTTGTGCCGGCAGTTGGCTAACCGCCTTGGCGAGTTCGCGTACCCTTTTCCAAGCAAATTCTACTCAGTTAATAATTGTCCCTCGGGATACCGTGGTACCGGTACAAGAGAAATCGCTCCCGCGCCGTCCTCAATCGGTCTAGGGTGCGCACTATACGAGTACTATATCGTACAAAGAAAAAAAACCCCTCCAATTCTCTCATTTTTGCCGACAACAACCCGGCCGGCGGGGATGTCGGCTGTGTCTGAGAGGAACTTGGCTCCTCGCAAAACGTCCAAGAACCCCTAGGCAAAGGCCTAACGGAAAGTGATGCTGCGACGGCACCTCTGTAGCGTTGTTTTGACGAGATAAGCAACAATCGCTACTATACTGGTACAGGTAACTTAACCCGACCGGCTTCGTTTGGTCCCTATGACCCACAATGCCGGCAAGGCTCGGGGTAAATTTACAGATGCATCAGCTCAATTTCATCTCATTCAATAACGGAACTCTACCTTTAATTATTTATTCAGCCGGGAGGTGTATCTCGGCACCGCTACAAATTGTTTGCTGCTTGCTTGCGGGGGAAACGATAACATGCTTGAGTACCAGTACAGTGCACGCCTCCAGGGGATAAATTGAGGAGGTGGGGCAAATCACACCAGCACTGGACTGGTTGCCATCCTGTCAAGTCGCCCCCCTCCCACCTGATTAACCCCGGAGCGCCGGTACGACTGTCGGAATAACCCTGGTGGGAAAAGTCGCAAGAGCCTCGGATTGGACTGCCGGCGAATTGACTAACTTAACTCTATGATACTCGGGTGCCTGAGTACGCGAGTACCGAGACCAGTGCTGGCAGTTGTCCGAATGACGTCCTGAGAAAGGCGAGGGAGAATCACGAGTGGGAACTTGACGCAATTTTGATGCGTAAATCGCGTTCCAATCCGCTCAATGCTCAGTGCGTAAACATTTAAACCCTTTCGCAACGCAGATCCGGAAAAATCTTGTTTGTCATGCGGTAATCCAGCTGACGCCAACCGTCTTGCAGGATACGGCGCAAGGAGACCGGAAAAAAGCCAGAGGATTTACGATATCCCTGAAGAGAAAAAGCACGCAACCTTCCCCCCTCTTCCTCTTCCTCCTCCT